ACGAATTTACAGGGACGTTGGCGTAGGGATTGAGTTGGCGATGTACTAATTTTTTTTAATGGACCTGGCCAAAAGAATGGTGTTGGAAGGAGGGATTGTACGCACATATGTGCCTATAGTCTCCTCCCTTATTTACGCAATTTATCACAAGCTGATCTAATTTTTCTGCAATAGTTGATTGAATTGTTAAGTGAGAAGTTAATAATAAAGCTTATTATTCATCTTTGAAATTATTTTATTCAATCCATCTGTGGTTTGTGTTTGCTTATACTGTTATCTTTCGGGACCAAGAAAAACTTTGATATTGAATCAAATAGCAACGCATTCTACCCTTATTTAAACATTTTATTATTGATTACGTTATCATGCCATTTATTCATCTTTTCCTTATGTTTAGCCATTTTCATATGCAAAAGACTTGTGGTCTTTTATCTCATTAAGTTGTAACATTCGTTTTTCACCAGCAACAACATAGCCTATGTTTGATTCTTTCATAACCCAGTAAGCTTTGAATTCAAGTTCCAAAGGTAGATGTTGTGCAATAACCCAGTAAGAAACGAGAAGATGGTAAAGAGGATATTCATATAGGTATTTCATATGTTGTACAATAACCCAGTAAGCAACCAAAAGATGGTAAAGGGGATATTCTTATAGGTGTTTTATATGTTGTGCAATAAGCCCGCAACACGTCATCTAATTTGAAAGCCCATTATTTTATATTAGGCTTAATAACCATCTCAAGAATGCTTTTAATTTCTTTGTTCGATAGGTAAACCAACTTGTTGGTTTTGGGGGTGATATATTGTAGGCACTTTATGTCGAATGTTGTACTTTGCGAGCATATTTTCCAATAACATCTTGAAGTGTGCATCTTCAAATTATAACTTATCAGCACCCTTTGCGTCCCAAACTTTATAAAGATTTGTTTTTGAATGAATTTGATGACAATTTTTCTAACGTTTGTGTCATATCTTGCAGCTTCTTCCCACATGGACACGTAGCCTACACTCTATCACTACTATAATGTAATTGGTGTTTCCAAAACGGGAAAGAGTCTTATGAAATCTATCCTATAAAATATAAAAAAAGTGAACTTCTAAATAGGCCTTCACTTGCATCTCATTCTTTTGGAGATGTTCCCTTATTTGACGAATGTGAAATATTTTTATGAAATCTGGAGGATCTTTGTACAGTGATGGTAAAAGGAATCCAAATTGTAAAATCTTTGTCGCAGTGTGCTACCCTCCAAATTTCTCTATATTTTTATGACAATATTGTAACATTTGACAATTCTTCCTCCATGATGCATCTTCTAAAAATGTGACCATGTCTCATTTTATACAAGTAGGGATAGGATTTTGTATTATGAAACACTTGTTGAGTTGTGGTCTGCTAAGGTCGAGGATGTCAATCTACAAGCTAAGTAGTTAATCAAGCCTAAATACCCTGGTGTCAAATTACACTCTAACGTCATAATTCGTTCATTTAGGAATGTTTCAACAACTTTACTAGATTTCCTATTGGCTATTACACTTTCTAATAATAGCCACTTTCTAATAGACAGTGGTCAACTATTTGACTATTAGTGCCCTTCCTATCCTAAATATCTAAGTTAAACTCTTGCAAGGGCAACACCCACCTAATTAGTCTAGGTTGTACATTCTTTTTGGATATTAAGTACTTAATCATCGATTTACAGTACAACTTTGTTACCCACCAAATATGATATGAATATTTTTAAGTATGATATGAATATTTTTAGAAGAAAAGCCAATGCCAAATACTCTTTCTCAGTGTATTATAATTGATATGTGCTTCAATGAAAGTCTGGCCAACATAATACACATGGTGCAACATCTTCTTCTTTCTTCGACCTAAAACAACCCTTAAAGCTAGGGGTGCTCATGGGTTAGGTTGATCGGGTTGAAGATATTTGAACAACTCAATCCAATACTTGCAGTTTGAAAAATCTTAACCTAACCCAACCCAACCCAACCCAAACAAAAGTGCAACCCAACCCAACCCGTACTGGTTGGTCGGGTTGATACTTTGGTACATTAAAATTTTTTCTTCTAACCTTGAATATGTTATTTATCTACTCATAATTTCTTTTTCATCATCAACCATTTGATACAATTTATCCATATTTCTTACGTATATCACATTCAGTTAATTTTCTCAATTTACATATATATGTTCACAGTTACTAAACATATATACGAATGAGTTATATAGAGATGTGAATAGATTGAAAATATGTGTATATGAAAAACATACATGATAGTGTAATTGTCTAATGTATATATTAATAGAAATGCAACAATCATATTAAATCCAAGAAATAAAAGGATATCGGGTTCATTGGGTTGTGTTAGGTTCAAATAATAGTAATCCAGTATCAACCTAATACCTACGGTTTGACAATTTTACAACTCGATTAGACATCGATTGCTTCGGGTTGGATTATTTCGCGTTGAGTTGGGTTGGTCGGGTTGGTTGGGTTTTTGAGCACCCCTACCTAGGGATGATGATTTGCCCCGACCCGGTGGGGAACCCGGTTCACCCGACCCGGACGGGGACGGGGATTCCCCGTTAAAACGGGTACCGGGTCCGGGTCCGGGGATCCCCGGTAGAGGCAAGCCGGGGTTGGGGCCGGGGCCGGGTATTGTATCCCCCGACCCGCCCCGTACCCGGTATATGTATAATTAAGTAAATTTCTATTTGGGCTTTCACCTTTGCTTTGGGCTTTCACCTTTAATTTAGTTACTCAGTGTCGTTGAGTCGCACACAAGAAGTCAACTTAGTCAAGAACTCCTATTCCAGTACCAATAGATCTGAGACGCAGACGCAGACGCCCTTCTTGAACCTAAGAACCTTGACCTATTGTTGCCGTCTTGCTGCCGAGTGCTACTGCCGACTTGGCGACTTCAGCCGTATTACCGTCAGTCCAGGTCACAACCATCGTCCTCGTCAATCAACCAACACGAACACCGAAACACGACAGACCAAACAATCGAGTGATCGATCGACCCTCACCAGTCACCAATCGACCTCGTCAATCGACCCTCACCACTCCTTCAATCTCGTCGTGTGAGCCACCAGTCAGTCACTCTCATCTTCTTCATCAATCCGGTGAGTAGCCGGTGAGCAGCAAGTGACTGAAGTGAGCCACCATTAATTTGACCGGGTGTTGACCGGGGGTTGACCGGGGATTGACCGGGGGTTGACCGAAAATTGACCGGGGCCAAGAAGAAAATCCCCGTACCCGCCGGGTACCGGGGCCGGGGCCGGGGACTGTGTACATAAACCGGGGCCGGGGCCGGGGATTGCAAACCCCGCCCCATCCCCGCCCCGTTGCCATCCCTACCCCTACCTAAAGCTCAATCACTCTATCATACATGATGTCAAATGGTAAGGACTAGTTATTGAGGCAATGATGAAGACATGTTTCATCACTAGAAAAATCATCCCAGCATTTTTCTAACAAAACAAATTTTTGATCATGATGTAAAAAGTACAGAGAGGCTTAACAGTATTTGAGAAAAACTTAATGAACCTTCTTAGGTTTCTTAAAAAATGTTTTACTAATATCAAATTCGGTCAAACAACTGAGAGTGTGAAGAACCTCATGTTGCCACATGAAGCATATAAGGTAAAGAAATTTTCATGAAAATCATCTTAATGAATATGGTTAATATCTTTAGAAATATATGAATAAAGACATTAAAGGGGTGTTTAGGGTTCGTTTATATGAAACAACTTATACTTTTCTATAAAAGTTTTTATCAACTTATGATAAGTTAGAATGATTTAACTTCTTTAAAAACTCCTTATTACCGGTTTGACACCAGTATAAGCTGTTTATCCAAACACTAAAAATGCTTATTACTGGTGCCACATCAAAATAAGTCAATAAGTTGTTTTTATAAGCAATCCCAAACACCCCCTAAGACAACTGTATGATGTTTATATAGACTTTGAGATTGATTTTTTCTTTTTTCAAAGTTTCCAACGAACAAAAAGGCAATTTTTTTTGAAAAGTTCAAGATAGACATTTGTATGGAACCCATTCATACTTACGCTTGTATCTGCACATAATTCAAAATGTGATATAAGTTGAATGTTATATTCTATCATTCAACACCATCTTGCAACACTTATAACTTTAAAGCTCTATGATTTCTAAGCATTCATAAATTAACTTCGCACATTCATTTGAGGGAGAGATAAAACCACTTGTTCTTCACTGTTAGCATTCATATATGATTGTATGCGTTCTTATTGTGCGCATCTCTACAAACTTGATGCATCTAGCGAAACAAGAACATTTTGTAATTATCTTTCTACCGAGGATTGACCTCAATCATAAGAAGTTTTGGTTACTAGATTGTATGTACTAAGAGGGCTCGACTGATTGGGAAAACATAGTAGAGACGTTTGGTCGAACCGGTTTTTGGATCCGTGTTTGTATCTATCGTCTCAACTCCTAATTTTTTTGTATCTGTGTTTAAACTTTGTTCAAGAATTGTGGCATACAACCTATTTATCAATCTATGTCTTTTTAAGGTTAGTAATTGAAGTCTTATCAACTCACACATTTCTCACATTTGATAAGACTTCAATTACCGACCTTAAGAAAAGTAGGATTATCAAGTACCGTTCAACCAATAACTTTTTGGTTGGATCTTTTGTTGTAAAAACTGCACAAATTACAATAACCAATAATTATTTGATTTTAAATTTGTCTTTAGATTCTAAAGATCGATATTAAAATTACGGTAGCTTTAAAAAATAGGTTACAATTTGTTAGAATTTGCACCAAATAAATGGAGTATTTTCCATGGTTACAAAAAGTTCCAAATTTGGTGAACAAAAAAAGATGTTCAATCGCCGAAATATGAGCTGAAGGGGAATATCGACCCAAAACAGTTGAAGCTGTTCTTCCCCGATTACACTCTCGGGGGTTAAAACCCACTCAACTAGCTACCCATGGACGAAGACAAAGATACCCAAATGGAGGATTTCTCAACTGGGCAACATGATAGTGGCGACGTCACTACCGCTGCTGCTGAAAACCATGATGCCGATGACTGCGACGCCGTTGTTGTTGGTGATGGAATTGGATGCTCGAGTGCTAGTGGTGGTGGTGGGCGTGCGGGCAAGAAGTCCGGCGACAGAGTGAAGGGGCCTTGGTCGCCTGAAGAGGACGCCATACTGAGTCGATTGGTGAGCAATTTCGGCGCCAGGAATTGGAGCTTGATTGCTCGAGGGATTCCCGGTAGATCGGGGAAATCTTGTCGTTTGAGGTGGTGTAATCAGCTTGACCCTGCTGTCAAACGCAAACCCTTTACTGGTAATTTTCAATTTGGTGGTATCAATAATTTAGTATCTTTTTTTGTGTGCTCGATTTCAAATGAGGGTTAAAATAGCAATGTAGGTCTCAGTCGTTTCCATGTTTGCTGGTATATGGTTTTGCTCTGTGAATAATGAAACCTGAGAGCTTATCAGACTTTCTACTAGATAGTGTTACAAAATAAAGAGGATAGATCAACTATGTTAACATAGTAATGTTTGGGCATCTTTATGTTTGAAGTTCTTGAATGGCCGAAGATTGAGACAATTACCAACTCTAACTATCTGGCTAGTCCTATAAGCACCACCACCTCTAATATCTTTTCTGCTCTTGATGATATACTTATCTAACTTTTAATAGGAATGAGGTTGCAAATAACAAATTACCAACTGTAGAAGTATTGCCTTCATCACTTGTAAACATTGCAGTGTGAATACCAACATCACTTATAAACATGCTGTAATGTCGATATATTTGTCTTCAATCATGAGATAGGATGCTTTGTACATTCTTGAACACCTTTTTTTTGAACAACTGTTAGAGAAGAATCATCAAAAGGGTGTCAGCATAATTATCATTGCAATTTGAGGTGAGTAAATCCTGACCTTGTGATTGACAGCTCATATGTTGGACTTTGTCTTGAAGCTGATTAGCAGCCTTCCTTTTTTGTAGTAAAGACAATGGATTGGTGTTGGATTTTGAGGACATCAATGGGTTATGTTTCAGTTCCAACAGGTTGGTTTGTGGGATGTGTTTGAGGTGTTGTGGGCTCAAGACTTTGGGATATATCAAGGCATGAATTGACTAGATTAGGGAGATTAGTAAATGTTACTTGAGTTTTTTGGATGGTTTCAAAAACTTCTCTTGAGTTCTCCCCCGGGATCTTTGATATGGCATAATATTGATGACTCTAAAAAAGCGACATCTATGGAGACATGCATTTTGCGAGTTGGATGGTGATAACACTTGTAACCCTTTTGATTTGAGGAGTATCCCTGGAAGATACACTTGAGTGATTTATGGTCATGTTTGCTATGGTGTGGAGACTGGAGAGTGATTGTGGACAAAAGAGGTTTAACCAAATACTTTTAGTGGTAAATTTTAACGAACATATTTGGATATCTACATATGTTTTGAGAAGAGTGCTACGAGGTTTTGAAAATTGAGTACTTGACTAGGAATTCTATTGTTAACATAAGTTGCTGTGAGAATAGCTTCATCCCAGAGATGGAAGGGAGGATTATTTATAAACAGGATTGACTGGGACACCTCAAGTAGATGTCTTTTTTTTGCATTCCGCTATCCTGTTTTGTTGTGGGGTATCCACACAAAAACTAATGTTGATGATTCCCTGATGTGAAAGATAAGAGTCAAGGTTGGTATTGACATAATTCTTAGCATTATTGATTTTTAGGACTTTGATAGTGCTTTGGAATTGATTTGAAATCATGGGAGTGAAAAGATTTGAAGATATCAAAGGTTTCAGATTGTTTTTTCATGAGAAATGTCTAAGTAGTTCTCGTGTGATCATTAATAGAGGTAGAGACCAAGGGACCCACTTATATTGTTCGCTCGTGAGGGATCCCCAAAGCCATTTCACTATTGATGAAGAAGAAAGTTTTGAGGGTTTGTATTTCGTTGGAGAGTATGTGTCTAGTTTGTTTATCTGGCAGAGAGTATGTGTATAGTTTGACAGATTTCACATTCATAAGAATACGACTTTTTATTGCTAAATAGATCAGGAAATAATTTTTCTAGGTACATGAAAAATTTGGATGACCAAGACGGAAATGCAAAAGTATGACTTCACTTTCTATTGACGTACTTTCATCCGTCTAAATGCTTTCCGTAGCTCCTTTGATCGAATTTAGAGTAGCTCGTGGATGAACAGATTCGAGAATCTATAAAAAGGTATATACTGAATTAGAAGCAAAGTTGACTGAGTTAGGATTTGAATAGTAGGCTGACTTAACCTGATTTTGGGTAGTGTTTGTCTATTAAATGGCCGAGTTCCATTCAGCAAGTACAAACCATTGTGTATCTCTTACCACTGCCAGTCACTTTCCCTGAAGTCACCTCCTGAAATTCAGAAAAATCATAGTGAAATTTGCTTACAGAATTCATATCATGAGTAAGCTTGCTGACTGATAATAAGTTGTAGCCTAATTTAGGAATAAAGTGGAGATTAGAAAGATGCAGATCCATAGTTAATTTTATGGATTTGTGTTAGGATACTGTGATCCATATGGAATTTGGACTGCCGGAAGGTAGGAGCATGGAAAAAGTTGTGAAAGATTAGTTGTATCTCTGTCATATGATTTGAGGCTCCGGAATTGATAACTAGGTAGTGCATTGCTGTTTAAAGATTGTGACCATTGGAGGAAGTAACGAGTTCTGATGAGGTATCAACTACACTTGTACCAAAAACTTGAACATTGGGATGGAAGGTGATTTCTGATGTAGGTTAGAATTCCATATGCTGCTGATTATGGTTGGTTTTTGCTGTTAAAAGTTAGAACCTCAGTAGAGGGCGAAGATAAATCGATGAAGCCACTCGATCATTTCAACTTTCAACTGAGTGCAGTACGATCGTGCAGAAGAAATACAAAATCAACACAGTGGTTTGGTGCTGCTAAACCAGGAGCAGTATAAAACAGTAGCAAAACAATAATAAGTAGCTGATAAAGACGATATCAGACAGTAAAATCCAGTTACCAAGCTGCAAGATTATACCAGGCCTCAGAAGGTTCACCAGACTGGTGACAGGCTTGTCACGAAAGAAGGGTCAGTGACGGGGATGAAGCTGCCTGAATTTTCCAACAATTGAAAGTCCGACTTGGACCGTGGCATTGGCAAGTTTCAGCTAGAGCGAGAGATGAGTGTTGGCAAAAGCCCCTTTTATACATGAGGAGTTATAAGAAAGTAAGAAACTTAAGAGATCTAGAAAGCTTAAATATGGAGGGATTTCTCATGATCTGTGAATCTAATTTATTCTACATATAATTCTACGCTATGGGAGTACCATAGCATGGAGCCAAAAGTAGAAGAGTGGTCAGGGCTATCCTATTGTATCTCTTTCTACATATTGAACCTCTACGTCCAGGATGTTCTTGTGAAAAAAGTTCAAGTTGTAAAATTTCTATTTTTGTGTGTCCCTCCTTATGACAATAGCCACTATACGTATCTTTCTTGTACAATGTATGATTGATGAGGCCATAGAAGACGAGAATCAGAGGATTTTGCAAATTGTGTTGAGCTAGGAGGTTGAGCATTGGCAAGCATGTGGATATACACCCCTGCGATTGACATTTTTCTCGCTTTTGCATGCTGCAAACTTGGCCATGGCCAGCTAAAGTATTCAAGAAATGGGCAAATGATAGCAGACAAATCATTTAAGCCAATAAGTAATTGCATTAGGCATTTTCTTTTATCATGTTCTCAAGCTAAAGAATTCAGTGATCATTGACTACAGAAAAACGACCTTGCTATATTTCATGTTCTGTGGAAATCACATTGAGTAGCATGGAAATAAAGGGCAATCACTCGTAAACGCCAACATAAGTACCATTCATAAGATGAATTGGAACTTAGAGCAATGTGCGTCAAGCTATGAATGCAATGCCAATCAATGTGGTGTAATTAATAGCAATCCATAGCTCTCATTAGAATGCGGCAATAACGGGTGAAGATGAGAATCGATTGGTAGATTAGCAATGTTTTTACCAGAAGAAGCTTGAAACAAAGGAGGAACAAGGTTCCCATGGTGAAACAATGTCATAATGAAAAGAAAGCCAGACCTTAACTGAAAATCCAAGGGGACGAAAGGGGAGACAACAATACAAAGATTTAAAACCTTGCTTTAAATTGTAGAATGAATACACAGGATATATTCTTCCAACCAGGGAGCAAATAACCTAACTACTGTATTTGTGGCCCACAAATAACCTGCTCTAAGATATTACCGACCAACTGTATACATGGGACATAATTCGTATGAGTAATATTTCAATATTGTAAGGTATGTTTCCAAGCTTTCCCCCAAAAACTTTCTTTTTCTGTTGCTCTGAATGCTGCAGAAGTTTGTGGTGCCTACTAATTAATTGCTCATTGTGGGTTGAGAATTTGGTCTCCTTGACAGTTTAAAAACCAAATACTGTCTAGATTTTACTTCGAAAAAAATGTTATTACATAAAAAGAGCTCCAAAATGGAAGTCAAGTTTGTGAGGGACAATCCATCTTTTTCACCAAGATCTCTCTTTCTCTCTTCCTGTGCGATATTTTGATGCATAATATATGCCAGAGAAGGATGGGACAATCAGAAGATAACAAGAAGTTTTGGGTAGATAGATACGGAGGCCAGACTTGAAGTACTTCTTTAGGTTACTATTTATTGCTCGAGTTAGTTGCACGTTAATAGATCTAGCATGTATAGTTTCCTCTCTATCAATTTTGTCTCTTCCTCACACATGCATACTTATTCACATTCTCTATTTTCCGTATAATATTAGTGATATGCTATGTAATGGTCCTAAATAGCAAAATTCATGAGACTCTATACGTAATTTGATTACCAAAGCTCTTGATTGCTTATTGGTCTAATCTGCTTAATGCAGCTTAATAACCAAATCCAAGCAACCCGAACTCAAGGTGAGACCTTTCCACTGATGTGCACATGAATTGGCATCCCAAAGCACTAATTAGCCTGAACATGCGTTGTTTCATGTACTTGTGTCTGCTCTTTCCTAGTTGAGCTGAGTTAACCTTTAAGAGAAAGCTAGATGGGATGCCATGTAGAACAAAAAAGGAGAATGAGGAATACTTCATAAGTTGAATACTTTATTTTCTTATGATCTCTAACCTTGGATCAATACGAAAGTGGGATATTTGTTTTTCGTAGGAGACCACAACCTGTCAACGACCATTCTAATCCTAAGAATCTTCTAGGTTTTACTACAGTAATTATAATACCATTTTACAAGTATCATGAATATTCTACATAATACAAGAAAGTCCTAAAATAATATGGAGAGTACTAAGATCATCCTAGATTATTATAGGGATTTCTAGGATATTTTAGACCCTTCAATGGAGGATGCTTTGTTGGTGATCCACTGGGAGCATATCAGATGCTATGTTCCTTCAGGTAATTCTCAAACCAATGTGGTTTGTTGCAAAGGTGACAACTGCGGGGAGGAGATTGTCTTAATGGACATTGTTATTAACTCCAACATCTCAAACTTGCATTAAGCTCTTTCCCTTTGTGGCAATCTGTTGTTTGGTCTGACCCATTGCACAAAAGATTTTTCTTAGCTTCTCATATCCTTTCTTGTTTTTCTTTCGTTTCCGTAACTATCCTTATGATGCTCAGACTTGGAGACTTCAGTAATTATTTGATATAGTATTCCACCAAGGTCTTTGTAGCTTGTATGGCTTCAACCACACTCTTGACACCACATTGCTATCACTCTTAGGCAACCCATGACACAGCCTTTTCATGAAATTGAATATCAAGTCCTCTACACCCATGACATAGTCCAAACAGAGTGCTGGGTTATGGGTTAGAATTGCTTCATAAGCTCGGTCTCCTTTGATAAGAGGTTTCAACCCCAAAAAAAGGAATATTCTCATCCTAAAATTGTTCTAGGTTCCATTTACAAGTTTGAGACTACCATAAGCATCACCAGAGTAACTGCCAACTCACCAACTCTACCATGTGATTGCCTTTTGCATGAACATATTTACATCCGATCCGATTGCTATATATTCTTTGTGTTTACTTGTATGTTTTGAATACACTATTGCTTACAAATTTGTAAAATGTGGCAGATGAAGAAGACCGTATTATACTCTCGGCTCACGCAATCCACGGAAACAAGTGGGCTTCGATTGCACGGCTCTTGCCAGGAAGAACTGATAACGCTATTAAGAACCACTGGAATTCAACCCTTAGGCGACGAGGCTTGGAACATGGCAAATTCAACTTGGGTTCCGGTAATACAATGGAGGAGGCGAGCGTGGAGAGATCGAAAGCATCATCCGAGGAAACTCTATCTTGTGGGGATGTCAATTCATCCAAAATCTTTGAAGGAGTCGATGTCACAAGTGATCATAATGCGGAAAACGCTCAAACTAAACCTCATTTTAACAACGTTCCAAATGACCAACCTACCCTTTTTCGTCCAAAGGCTCGGGTTAGTGCATTTAACGTTTATAACTCCCTAGATAGCCCAGAAACTCAAGGGACTTCAATTCATTCCTCGAAAGCAGATGTCGGATTGAGTAAGTTACTTGAAGGTGCTTATAATGAACGGTTAGTTCCTCATCGATGTGGTCATGGCTGCTGTGACACCTCAACCATACCAATCAGTCATAAATCTTTACTGGGACCCGAATTTGTCGATTATGTAGAACCGCCTTCTTTTCCGAGCCATGAATTGGCTGCATTAGCCACTGATATTAGTAACATCGCTTGGCTTAGAAGTGGGCTAGAAAATAGCAGCGTCAGACCGACAGATAATGCGAGTGGAAGGGCGAATCCAAAGGCCAAAGACCATTTCCGTTTAGTGACCGATGTGCTTTCTCCGATGCCGATCAGTTGGCAGCCATCTGCGCAACCTGCAAACGTTGGGAGCTCGGGCTAATAACGTGGTATGTATCCGTAACATGTTAGAGTGTATAATTCATCTGTTGCTTAAGGCTGGTAATAAGATATTATTATGGAAAGTTAGAAATTGATAGCAACAGAAATCCATAGGTAATTAAGGTGTAAGTTAGTCTAATTTTCTTGAATAAGTAGGTTGTTAGTTAATCAGTGAGAACCACGGACGTCCGTGATGAGTTGTGCCTTTCTTAAAGTAAAAATTATATATAACGATTCTCCTTGTATCCTTTTTTCAGATTTTTTTATAAATATAAGATTTTATAAAACAATTTATGGTTGAATTATGAAGGAACATATACATGTGGAAATGGGGTCCAATTACAGTACACGAGATTTTTCACGCAAGGGGTCAACTGTGTTTTGTAGTGGTTGTCGTCAAATACCCCTTGACAGATTTTCCAAAACGACCTTTAATAAAAGGTTTGTTTGTTTTTTTTTTAATTATTTAAAAAGTTATTTAATAACAATTATAAAAGCACTACAATAAAAATTATTGTTTAAAAAGTGTTACAACAAATTAATGTGACGGTTTAATGATTAATAAATTACGTGTTGGTTCTATAAACTTAAAATCATTATTAAATACGTTATTAATGTATACGAGAGAAAATTAATAGAAAAAAAGAAATAGGTTTTTAATAATGCAATACCTTTTTGAGATTTTATTAAAAGTGGGAAACGCCAAATTGCAATGTGCCAATGAGTCGACCGGTCACTTCAATACATCTCATCCTAGGTTTTATTTATATATTAAACCACTTTTTGCTTTTAGTTTTTTTAATTTCTATTTAATTTGCCGTCTTTGTCTTTTAAAACTAGAAGGGTATTTGCGCAACGTAGCGAGATAAATTTCAATTTTAATGTTTAGTTTTTATTTTGTCTCTATCGATATAATACGTTTTTATTTAGTTTTGAGAAAGCGATAATGTTTTATTTTTGAATGAAATATAAATTTGAAGATAACATAAAATTTTGAGAAAAAATAAACCGATATTAGTATCAAATTAACTATTTAATAATTATCGTTTTTTTGGTGTAACCTCTTTGATTCAATTTTTTATTATAATTTAATTTAGATTTAATGACAAAGTAATTTATTTTTAGTTTTTATAATATAATTTTTTATAGGGAAAATTGCACCAAAATGGAACCAACTTTCACATGATTCCTATTTTGGGGAACGAACTTTCAAAATCGTCATTTTGGGAAACCAACTTTCACCTGATTCCTATTTTGGGGAACCAACTTGAAAAATAATTATAGAAAAATGGGAAAATTACACCAAAATGGAACCAACTTTCACCTGATTCCTATTTTGGGGAACCAACTTTTAAAATCGTTATTTAGGGGTCTCTATCGAACTTTTTGTTTATTTAAGGATCTGATTGATCTGTTGAACAGGTAACAGATAATTTAAGGGTCTCTATCAAACTTTTGGTTGGATTTGCCAAATTTGATTTAAACTTTAATATTGGCACAGATTGATTAGATATAAAAATCTTGAATGCGATATTTAATATTTATTTTTTATTGCATCAATTAATTTTTTTCTATTAAATTGATTTTTTATTGCATTA